ATACACACACACATACACACATCCACACAGAAACACACACATAACACATACACATACACAGATGCACACACATACACGCACACATACACACATACACGCACATACACACATACACTCACATATACACACACATACACATACACATACACTCACACATACACTTGCACACATACACACATACACACACACATCCACACACATACACACAGAAACACACACATAACACATACACATACACATACACATACACATACACATACACATACACATACACACACACATACACACATACACATACACATACACATACACACATACACATGCACACACACACACACATACACACATATACACACATATACACACATATACACCATATACACACATATACACACATGCACGCACACATATACACACATATACACACATATACACACATGTACATACATATACATATACACACATGTGCACACATATACACACATATACACCATATACACACATATACACACACATGCACGCACACATATACACACATATACACACATACACACATACACACATACACATACACACACAAACACACACACAAACACACATGCATACGTAAAGGATAAAGAATAAAGTATTTGGGTGTTGATCAATCCCGTCTGGGCGATGAGCTCCTCATTCACCTTCCATTCAGAATCGTAGTGACGTACTGAATGCTTATATGGCTTATACATTGAATTGCAGTGACAAGCCGATGTACAAGTCAGTGCTTTTGCCCACAAAAACGACTCTGGTACGAATCAACCGACCCCGGTGGATGGAAGGCTTGGTTGGCATAGGTCTGTGGTTGGATGTCGAACCCGTGACTACGCGTGTGAGATAGTGTGCCACTTGCCACTATACCACTTCCGATAATCGATAGCACCAATACTACTCTGGTTCCCAATGACTGCCGATCTTCTTCTCCCGAGGGCAGCACACCCATCCCAAGTGCTTGAAAAAAATGCCGGTTAAAGTTTTTTACCCTTCTTTGCATCTAAGCAGTTTCCGCTTTTTTCAAGGCCGAATTTCATAGAAAGTTCTAGTCTCCTGATTGGATTGACGTCTTACCTATGTCCAGTATGTCAAGCATTACTAGGTGTGGTTATATATCTGACCATGGGAGTTGCATATGTCCTACTATCACATGCGTGATTTTTGGTTCGAATCTCAGGATCGGGTAAATGGTATCACCAGACATATCCAGAAGTTAAAAAATCCAAATGCAAAGCAAAGCGTTTTCACAATTCATCAAAACGGATTAGTTGATGGACCTACCCCAAAGGTCTTTTCGATCTTTGTCCAAAATTCATCAAATTCCGGTACAGTCGTCCATCAGGAACCTCAAGAAGACCGAGATAAGGGTCTACGAGTGCACGGGGCTGCACAGTGCTCGGCCTGAATAAATCATGAGGAAGGCAAGAAGATTGGTAGAGGTAGAAAACTCGCATACGCATGAGCTGTTAAACCCTGCGGTTGGGGAGTGGCACGGGTCACGCATCGTGTTATTCTTGATAAGATGAGTTCTAGACCTTCCTTACGAGGTTGGATTTAAGGAAGAGATCAGGGATTGTCAGATCTCAGATCTGCGATCGAAGTGACATGATGACTACAGTCTCAAGCCTGCTCAACAACCTTCTTCAGAACTCTCTGGAACAATCGATGTCCTCAGTTTCCAGTAAGTGCATTGTGGGGAAACAAACAAACAACAGAGAAATAATTTGGGTAATTTAATTCCAGGCAGACCCATAAACGTATCCAACTTCCTCCTATTGACCGGACTTCTTGGATCTGGTGAGCTTAACTTGAACTGCCTCATATGTGTTGTGCAAAGAAGTCTGAACTAATTACTAACTCTATTATAACTTCGCATGTGATTGAGGTACAGCCTTCCACATCCCAAGAAATGCGGCCCCTGCAAGAAACAGGTAAAAATTATGTTCTTCTGCTTCCACCACACAAACGAGGGTCTTTATATTCTTAGCAGGTGCCGGTACGTCTTCATCATCTTCCGCTCCACCTCCTAGACGATGGTGAACCTTACCAGCGAACTGTTTCCCGCAGCCATCGAAGCCAGTAAATAAGGAAAGTGCCACACGCTACGCTATCGTATTCCAGGCAAGTCCAATTACAATTTCATTAAATAACTTCTCAAACGTTTTGCTCTTTGCAGGGCAACCTCTGTGTTATACTTTCGAGCATATGCGCACGACTACAACTGGCAATGAAGTCTACCGCTGTACAGGATGTAGAAAGAAGTCATCCACGGAGTCACGGCGAACTCCGTGGATGTGCCGCTGCTGTTCGCCATTACAACAGGGTATGGTGTACGCTAGACTGAATTAGCTCGTTTTCAAGCTGCTAACACCTGTGCTGTTCCAGGAAAATTAAACACGTGTACGAGAGAGTCTTCAGGAAGCGACTGAGGCAGCTGGCGCAAGGAGCAACATAAGGATTCTGCTCGGCTACGAAAAGGCCGCTGTCAACGCAGCGAAGAGGTGCTTCCCAAGCGCATCAGTAGAGGGGTGAGCTTTTCATCTAGCGCAAGCCTGGAACAGGGGAAGAGATGCGCTTGGATTGCGCCAACAGGTAAGGGGGCTCGCCGGTGCAGAGCCATTCAGAAATGGTAGCATACAATTAAAGGTCTGCCATTTCTGCCGTCTCATTTGCAACGAAGGATCCCGGCACTTAATCGGCCTCCTGTCCCCAAAGAACATGGGGCCTACGATAACTGCTCTTTATTTCCAGACTATTTGAGAAAATATTGGTATGAGGGTGCTTTCAGTAATTTGTGGTACAGATGGGATGTGTCGATCCTGCGGACCACAAATGCGGCAGAAACGTTCAACAGGTTTGATCCATTGCAATGTGGCTCCATTCTTGCTTGCTGACTCCACTATTTTCTTTCAGGCTTCTGGGAGTACCCATGCAGGTAAAGTATCCTCGCCCTACTGAAGCAAAACCTGCTCAACGTTGAAAGGGTTGGTTTGCGCTGTTCATTCTATCAGAGGTAGTGATAAAATTTCCATTTGCAGAGAAGAATCGATCCGATTCCGTTGTGACGAAGGGACAGGCTCCGAAGACGTTGCGTCGAAAGGAAAATGGTCAGGCATAAGAAGCTTCTGAGCCGCACGAGAGGTTTCCCTGCAACAGAAACAATTACGACGTACTAAAGGTGTCGAGCGCACTTTGTTACTGAGAAGGTGGTCTGAAGATACATTCATTCGCTTCGCTGTTGTTTTACCTTGTATTTTTGCTTTTGTCTCATTCACGGTGTCTGTGCCTTATTGATGTGTTTTTATTTATTTTTCTTTGATTTGTGATGTATTGTTTACTGTAATGCACTGCTTATTTTGGTTTCTTTTTCCTGCTTTTTATTAGATATCTTTTTATGAATTCCTGCTTAAGCTCAATAAATTATTATTGAGCCACACACTTTTTGGTCTATTCAATGTACTTAACTATTAAATTTTGCAGGATTGCGAATTTCCGCGTATGCATAGTGTGAAAATGATTGGCGTGCATTGTTATTTGTTTAATTACAAATATATCTCAAACACACTGCAGCGAAATTCTCTTGTTGTAATAAACATAAAAATTACAAATGTTAAGTTAGCAACGCAACAAAGTGAGAAAATGGAAAAGATGATAGGGTTTGGGCAAGTGAAATCGGTGGTATTGTACCATATGAATGTTTACAAAGGAAACAAACACAACAAGAAACAAGATGTAAAAAGAAGTTTAAGTTTACCACAAGTTAAAATCCTAAAAAACGTGCTAATTTAATAACTTGTGCAACATCATCAGCAGCAACAACAACAAAATTGGTTCAACAATTAAATGAATCCATGAAACTGTCTAGTATACGTGTAGGCAAGAATTATTCGGTGCACTCACTTACTCGGCCCTGGCTTCTCGTCCCATCTCAAGTTTCTGAAAAAAAAACTTTAGAAGAATTTCCCTTCTTTCAATAGAGAAACAACAAGTGGCAAGCGATAGACAAGCGACGATCTTTGTAGTTGTCTAGTCTAAAAAAGCATTACACGAAATAAAACAATACAAAATATTTATAAGAAAGTAAAATTTATGTAACATTCAAGAAAACACCGAAGAATAAGCAATCAAAACTATTCAGCAAAGAAAAAACAAGCAAAAGTATATTATATCAGTCAAAGGCCATGTCATGGACTAGTACAAATATCGTTTGGCCCTTTGCAACCCAAGGGTACTGTAACGCCACATGGAAACACGTACGAAATCGGCAGGGCAATGCGTTGCGTGCTGCGTGCGCGTGCGCCTCTACTGAGGTCACGCGTGAATCGCGCGCCCTCCAGAAATAATTCATCAAATTCGGTTGCTAACTCACTTGGGTGGAGACACGCAACCCTTCATCGTTTTTTCTGGCTGGGGAATTTTGACAACAAAACCATTCCTTAACAAAAAAAAATGGTCGCAAAAACATCGGTAGTGCAATCCCCTACAAAACTTGCTATAAGAACAGCAAAATGATGTTCATTGAGGGAGCACGGCCTTCTATCAGTATGCTCTCTAAACACAGCTTTCTGTCAATTGCCACACCTGTGCCGTATAACCAGCGGCCACTGGTCGTCGGTTTAGTTGGCACCGGTGTGACAATTGACAGAAAGAGAGCATACTGGTAGACGTACTGAAGCTCTGTTCTGACTCCACTTCTCGAAACAGACCGAAGTCTTCCCAGAGGGACGGTACAGTAGACCACAGACCTAAGCGCAGTCAAGAGTGGTGCCGTCAGGAGTTGCCTAACTTCATTAGCAAAAAGGAATGGCCATCCTGCTTTCCAGATCTCAACTCACTTGACTTCTCCGTATGGTCCCTGATTAGAAGAAGACCTGTTGGGTTTGCAGTGATCAGCCTGATTCGGCCCATCAGTTCTTTTGGGGAACTTGAGTGATCGATGTGCTTACGGATGTTTTGACAATAGTTCGACGCACACTGAAGAGGTTAAAGAGGGGACCTTTCATCGTATCTTTGAAGAACTCAGAACATGTAGACATCTGGATTCTTCATATCACTTTTATCATTGTTTTAATGAATAGTTGCGCTGAGGGGTGAGGTTCATTTGTCTTCATGAAGATCATATGGAAGTCATGTGTAGATAAGGCAAAGCTTGCCGTCATGCTAACGTTCGAAAAGATATCCAGTGGTAAGTTTCAGAAAGATTCAAGATACACCTTGTCTGCGAACTCGTTCAGGTCTTCTTCTTAATGTAAAACATTTAAAAGACGTCAAAGGCTTCATTTAATTGTTTCAGGTGTAAGCTTCCAAGAGGTTGCAGAAATGTACAATGCAGTTCTTGTAAGTTTTTGTTTTTTCTGTATTTATATGATTTGAATTCACTACTGATTTTCAGGATCGCTTTTGCCCGACAAAACTACACCGACCAATGCAGTTCATTATTACATATCTACTATTTCACGTTTACCTTTTGTATGCAACAGTTTATGCTGTTACACAACTTATATTGAAGCACACACGTATGAAGGGGGCTCATGTCATACCTCAATTACCGCCGGGGGCACTTTTCTCAGACGATATTGATTGACGCCAAAAGGCTTGACCCTCTTTATACCTAAAAAAATGATAGGCACCTTCCCATCAATGAGGGAATCCAGGGCCTGAAATGGTATACCTCTGTCACGAATCAGGCGTTTTGAAGGTGAATGCAGACGTGAACGTCTATCTAAGCCCTGAGAATGAAGAATTTGCTGAGCTGATGAAGGGCTTCCAGAGGGCCACTGATACAGCTTCTTTCGCCAGTGACCTTTTATCTTCAGTGACAGCGTAAGTTAGGCTGATGAGCCCATTTTTGGCCATTCTTACATAACTCTCTCGATTCAGAAGCATCACACAATCGGACTCCGGCGAATCGCTTGGTGGCTGGTCATCATCTGTCTTCTCATCAATGGGTATCTATTAAGTCAATGGGTTAGGTTTAAACCAGTACCCAAAGAATAAAGGATGGAAAGTGCGGAGGAGGTGGTGTAGTGGCAAGTGGCTCACTGACTCACATGCATGGTCTCGGGTTCGAGTCCTGGATCGATATCCGCTTAGGCAATCGAATTCTTCCATACCTACAGGGTCGGTCAGTCGGTAACAGACTCGTTTGGGAGGATGAAAGCGCTGAGCTGTTAATTGGCTGACCACCGTTGCTCATTGTATAGGCCACACACGCCTTCAATGCGGCACTACGATTCTGAATGGGAGTAGAATGTGGGGGCACTTTCTTCAGACGAGATTGATTGACGCCAAAAGACTTGACTTTCTTTATACCTAAGAAAACGGTAGGCACCTTCCCATCAATGAGGGGAATCCAGGGCCTGAACTGGTATACCTCTGTCACGAATCAGGCGTTTTGAAGGTGAATGCAGACGTGAACGTCTATCTAAGCCCTGAGAATGAAGAATTTGCTGAGCTGATGAAGGGCTTCCAGAGGGCCACTGATACAGCTTCGTTCGCCAGTGATCTTTTATCTTCAGTGACAGCGTAAGTTAGGCTGATGAGCCCATTTTTGGTCACTCTTACGTAACTCTCCCGATTCAGAAGCATCACTCAATCGGACTCCGGCGAATCGCTTGGTGGCTGGTCATCATCTAGCCTTACTGATGATCCGGACGAAGTGGATATTGACGTGGAAATAGATAAAGCTTTGCAGGAGGTCGGTCGTGTTTAGAAGTTTGAAGGCTTCTGATATCCAGAGTGTTGATTCATTTCAAGCACCAAATGAGCCGATAGCTCCTTGAACGGTTTCAGTTCAAGCCCTTACTTGATTTTCTATTCTTCATTACAAGGATAGTGAGCTATTAGCAAAAAATACTTGGGCGAGATTTGCACCCATTCATATGACATCTTTCCCTTGATTCTTTGATGTACTGAGAAGCAGGAGAGCTTAATTGAAGTAACACCAGGGAACGAGAAGCGTATTTTGGACTGTTCAAGGGATGAACAGAACAGCATTGTATCATGGAAGCACTATTCCGGTTCGAGCCCCCTCCGACGCTAAGCATTTTGTCCGCAATTACCCATCTTTGTGACGATCCTCAAAAGTCTTTTTTGACCCGCTACCCTCCTTCTTGCTTCGCAAGAGAGATCAGGACTTTTTTCTGGAAGTACACAGGCCAAATTAAGGTTAACAATGATCAGTACAATTTTCTGTAACAGGGGCATGCCTTCGACGAAGCTTCCGCGGAGTGTGCTGAAGAGCAAGATCCTTTGCTGCCAAAAGCAACCACTGAGGAAAACACAAGAAAACCAAAACAACGATTGACCCTAAAGGAAGTGGCAAAAGAAGTATTGCATGAGGTTAGCCTAATATTTTCTGAAGGAGATAAAGAGTAGTAGATTGGTCAATTACAGTCTATACCTCGAAGATGAGGGAGGCGTGGCCACCTGCCAATTCCAAATATATCGACAGAGTTTCAAAACTCAGTTGGATAACATGGTTGAAGGTCCACAGCCCCGCCTATTCCATCTCCAAGGCGTAGATTACATCTCGATAACTTGCCACCCTCACCTTACTCGATTTCTAGCTTTCTATGCTTAGTTTATAGTATAGAAACTTGCCTAAATGCAGGGCTCTCTTCAGCAAAAGAAAAATGTTAAAGGAAAGTCCCAATGTCATCAAGTAGATTTGTGGGATTTTGCAGGTGCAGGGCTCAGGCGGCTCTCGGTCACGGATACCACGTCCCCAGGCTTTGGAGCGCTTCCGAGTAAGAAATGCCATTGCAAATACCCTACTCCGTCAACGATTCCTCCGTCGAAACCGATCGCCCACCGATGAACAAAACGACAACGAAAACAGAAGATTGTTTGATAATTGTGATTGATAGTGTCAATGTGTAGCAATGTGAGATCTCAATAACTTTGTATCCACATAAACAAATAAAACTGAAAGCTATTTTGAAAGAGCGATATTAGAAGACACCAAGTTTCTAGAGGTTTCAGTTCATGCATTCACGTGTTTCTTGATCGAAGGCACCTTCGAGGTTAATTGAGCCAATGTCAAGCCATTGTTCTGGACGCGGATTGCCGTTGTGGATGAACTTCTTGGGAATGACGAATTTCAGCTTCCGGGAACATGGCTGAAAAGTTTTCCGTTCGAGGTGGATTAGAAAAGCCACACAAAACAAAAAAAGATGCTACTCGGTTCCTTTGCGAACTAGGGCCAAGCTTTTGAAGCGGAAACCGCGTAGGACCTATTTGTTCAAGAGAGAGCGAAAGAGGGCCCCATTCGACATCATAATTGGCCCCGTATGTGAGGCAAGCACTTCTCCCTTCGACTTGTTGACCTTATCAATGTCGATGGACTCATGATACCTATTCCATTACCGAACCTTCACTAACAATTCGAAAAGCACGCTATCGCGGACGAGTAGACCACAACAGGTTCGTCGCGCAGCCCCTTGTCGCTCGCGATAAATTCGCGGCTGGACCTAATGGCACACACCCATAAGATAGCAGCTTCGGTTGCTTTGCACATTTCTTGAGATAAACGGGCTGTTGTTGTTTGGTTGTTGGGCTTTCCACCATAGAGAATTAGAGGTAGTTTTAATTTTAGTTGCATTGGATGCATTGGAGCCGAGTTT